TTCCCTCAAGAACACCTGGCCTTTACTAAAAAGGTAGTGGATGCTCAACAGTTTCACCCCAGGCAGAAGGGAAATTGGTTGGTTAATTGTTAGGGTTACTTATAACAAAATTCAGCCAATTATATTTTCTTTCCTAAAGCTCTTTTACTCCAGTCCTTTGAAAATGCAAGAAATATTAATATATAATGGAAAATTAAGCTCCTGTCATTGTTTTCAGCAAACTCCATTAATGGCTCTGAGACACTGAAGTGCAGTGTGCTCCTTTAAAAAAAGTAATCAAAATACATACACAGCATAGTTTAAGTATACAATAAGCAATGGACTGGGACTTGTAAATCTCAGATTTCTGGCTGCATGGTCTTCTGGGTCTCAGTTTTTAATTTCTTAAAATGCTAAGAGTTCTCCAGTCCTTGCAAGATTATGAGCAGTATATGAGAAAATATGTCAAAGATGGCGGGGAGGGGAGGAGATCCTAAAATGCTACAGAAGTAGTAACTATTAGTACGAGTCCTCATTCTTTAATATGTTCTGCAGTCTCTAGGAACTTACCCTTTAATTTTAAATATCTTTTCAATAAGATGGGGTTAAAATGTGTTGTTTATTCTGTACGTAAAGCAAATGAAATCTGAATACTGACCTATGTTTTCTCTAATTTGTTTTAGTCAAAAAGTTTGAAGTATAATAACTACTTAAAACACCTCAGAAACATCATTTGAAAATCCTTTTTCTGAGGCTCTCTAAAAGATTACTACATTTAGATGCAAAGATAACACAACAACTGTATTCTATAAAACCTTTTTAAATTGCTGGTTTGTGGTTAGTTGATAAAAGATCACTATAGTTTAAAAACCAAAAGCAGTGGTGAATATGAAACTGCTTTAAGAGAACAACAACAACAACGACAAAGCATACACCCTCAGAAAAGTTTCTGGCATTTTAATTCTTCACCCAATTATGAATAAAGACAAATACCTCAACCTACCAAAAAAAAGAAAAGGTAATAGGTGAATGTATTTATTATACAATCGGAGTTCATTAATACTAAAACACATTTGGGTATCACATGTGAAAAAATATTTTCTATGACCACAAACACTCTAAAAAACAAGCAAAAGGTGAAAACCTTTTTCTATTAAAATAAATTGTTAATGCCTACATGCATTTTAGCTTAAGACTGGGTGGGAATCTTACATTTCTTTCTTTCTCAGATGGGTAAGGTAACAATTATCTAAAACTAGACAAATTCAACCTGATGACTACATAAAAAAATAAGAACTTAAAGGAAAACAAGGTCCAAAACAGTAGTCCTCTTCACTTCACCACAAACCAAAATAAACATTAACTGCCCAAAACTGTACTGAAGTTAACTGAAGATTGACAGACAGCAAAATCTCTTCCCATAACTACCTAACATTTTCAAAACAAGAAGCAGCTTATGACTATCGACCACCTAAATACCATTACATGATTTTAAAAACTTCTGTTGCGACAATCAATACTCCATCCTAAAAAATGAGCAGGTTCAACTATTCATTAATATCTACGCTCCAGATTTTATTAGAGAAATCCAATCTTAAAGGCATTAAAGATAGCTTTCTTTGTCTCTAACCTCAAAAAGAAAACCCTAAATTGACCTTCTGATTTAACTGTCTGGTTCCAGATGCTTATCTTATGAACTTCTTATAAAAAGACAAAATTCATTCCATCCAGCATACACCTGAAGTGTTTTTTTATGAGTTTCCCCTAGTGACCAGAATGCCAACACAAGAGCCGGAAAATGCTGCCTGGGGACTGTTTTCTTTTCAGGGTTCTACACTAGCTCACAACAATTTTTACTACGAGGGTAATTTCGGAAATATAACCCAATCATTGCTAAACGTTCTAGTATCTTTAAACTGAGGATAACATATCTTTGTGATGTTTATATTCATCACATCCAAAATAATGAAAAACTTTGAGCCCTCTTTGCTGGGGGATGGGTTGAGAAGAGAAATGGAAGACAGAGGGCCTGTAATTTTCAGGTAACGTTTTGCGTTAAGAGAATAGCATAGCATTAACTACTGTAAAAATACTGAGCCATGAAATTTGTTCAGTTATGTAAGATTAAGACTGAAGATTCCCTTTTTTGTTTTTTTGTTTTTTTACCGTAAAAACCTGTAAAGGAGTGGTCAGTGTTGAGGTGAAAGGTCATAGGAAGAAACGCATTAAAAGGTGAGATATAAAGAAGAGAAAGAAAAAAAAAGCCCAACATCAAGGAATTCGAAAAATAAGGCGTTATAGCATTTCCACATTCATTTTGAAGTGAAAGGAAAGCAGAAGGGACATTAAAGGAAAAGGGCTCCTCGCGTAGTTTTCCCCTCACAGCTCTCGTCTTAAGAACGCTTAAGGGTCGGTGCGGTCGTTGACTAACCACTTCATTAGGCTCTTCCCACCTTCAACCTCAAGGCTTTCGCCTTTATAGACGCAACGCCGCCGGTTCCAACAGAGACGCGGCCGCTCACTGCAATAGAGAGCCAAGGAGACACAGGCCCCAGCTAGTCCCACGCCAGCTTCTCCCCGCCCGGACAGCAGCCCCGCGCACTTTTGACCCCGAGACCCTCTACGATGCTCGGGGTCGCCAGAAACGCCACCGCAGGAAGCACCTACCACTATCCGGCCGGGGGGAACTCCCTGCCGTCTCCTCCCGCCCCACCGGGACCCACACCTCGGAACAGAGATAAGGAAGCCTCGGGGTGGGGAGAAGGCAGGGCGCACCGCTGGGGGAAATCGGACCCAGGGGTCCAGCTATCAGTCTCCAAAGAAAGGGGGAAGGGGAGGTTATCCGTGGTGTTTGGGGCAAGAGTGTAACCCAGAAGCCATCTTGGGATGTGAAGAAGCGACCTCGATGGCTCCAGAGGCTGCTCCCCGCGGGCCCCCGCAGAACTCCCCGCAACCCCGCCCGACCGCGCTCGTCCCAGAGAAACCCCCGAGCATCGGGCCGCCGCCGAAGACGGCTCCCGCGGCTTTGTACTCACTCTGCCCTCGAAGTTGTTCTCCTCTACATCACTCATGTCGGCCAGGCACTCCCCAGAACTAAATAAGAGACAGGTCTCGGCTTGAGGGCCGATGGCCTAATCAACCAGCTGACTGGACCGTGGGGAGGAGGAAAGAGTCGGCAACAACAGCCGCCCCACTCCACTCCCACTCGGTCGCAGGCTCCGGCAAAATGGCGCCGATGCCGCCAGAAACCTTCTGGCCTCCCGAGTGCGCGACGTAAGGAGGCGGAGCGTCTCTGTGACGTCAAGTGGCCCCGCCCCCAGCGAGGGTTTGTGGTGGCCCCGGCCTAGCAACGCGGGCAGCCCGAGCTCTGACCTTCCGCATCTTCGTGCCGTATGCCCACCAGACCTCCGAACTTCAGACTCCTTCCGACGCGTCAGTCCTTTTGAAGATTTTCAGTCACCAGATAAGCTTTTATTGACCTTGGTCCCTTTATATATTTTCCAAGTGGATTCTGATGGAACAGAAAAAACTGGAATCGTCTACATAATTAGTAGGCTTTTTATTTTGAATGTTTTCCGCACTCTTACTTTTCTCTGCCCTATGTAATACTATTGAAGTAATATAGGCACAGATGGGGTTATAATGAAAAGTCACAGTTCCTTGCTTCACTCCTCCCTGAGAGCTCTGTCAATTTTATTTTTAATAATGCTTAGTTCCCTACTAATCTTAGGGAACTAAGCATTATTTGACTTAGTTCCCTAATTTTTTAAAAATTAATTAATTAATTAATTATTGGCTGCATTGGGTCTTTGTTGCTGCACGCGGGCTTTCTCTAGTTGCAGCGAGCGGGGGGCCAGTCTTTGTTGCGGTGCACGGGCTTCTCATTGCGGTGGCTTCTCTTGTGGTGGAACACGGGCTCTAGACGCGTGGGCTTCAGTAGTTGTGGCTCACAGGCTCAGTAGTTGTGGCTTGCAGGCTTTAGTGTGCAGGCTCAGCAGTTGTGGCGCACGGGCTTAGTTGCTCCGCGGCATGTGGGATCTTCCCGGACCAGGGCTCAAACCCGTGTCCCCTGCCTTGGCAGGCAGATTCTTAACCATTACGCCACCATTGATTTAGATATTTCCTTATATCTTCATAGCCAAGACCTCCCAAATCTATCTACTTCGTTCCCAATCATGGTGGTAATTTCTGAGGTGAATATGAGCTTTATTTGTATTTTGCAATTTTAAACTTAGCTTCCTCATAAAAATTTTTTTCCCATAATACTTTGTGATGGAAAGGTTGATGTGAACCTTCAACCACAGTTTTATGTTAGGAAAGGTAATTGAAAAACATTTTTATGAAGATTGCTACCCCAGGGCAAGATTTCAAGATTTGAATGTGTCTGCTATTGATAGAGCTAAACACATATAACATCTACTTTTTTTTTTTTTTTTTTTTTTTTTTTTTCACACTACTCGGGTTTTGTAAGAAATTGCTTCGAGATCCTTGGATGAGGAAACCTTTTTCAAAAGGCTCACAAGCCCAGCCACTCCATGGCATGTGGGATCTTCCTGGACTGGGGCACGAACCCGTATCCCCTGTATCGGCAGGCGGACTCTCAACCACTGTGCCACCAGGAAAGCCCCCAAGCTTATTTTTTTTTAAAAAGTTGTAAGAGTAGTACAAAGAATTCTCTTCACCCAGCTTCCCTAAGTATTTTTGGCTTACATAACCACAGGTATAATCATGAAAACCAGGAAATTGACATACTGTGAACTAATCTGCAGACTTTATTTAAATTTCATCAATTGTCTCACTAATAACCCTTTTCTGGGCAAGGATCTAATCCAGGATTATACATTGCATTTAATTGTTATCTTCTTTTAATCTGGATAACGTCTCAGTCTTTGTCTTTTACTTTCAGTCATTGAAATTTTTGAAGAATACTGGCCAGCTGCTTTGTAGACATAACTCAAACTGGGTTGTCTGACATTTCTCCTGATTAAATTAAGGTTATAGATTTTGGCAAAAATATCACAGAAGTGATGTTGCATTCATCTCAGTTCATCATATCTGAAGGTACAATACATGATGTCAATATGTCTCATTACTGGTGATGTTAACCTCAATCACTGTTTATCAGGTGATATTTGCTGGATTTCTCCACTGTAAAATCACTTTCTATCTCTTTGTAATGAAAAAGAGTGTCTTGTGGGGAGATTTTTTTGAGACTAAGTACCTTGCTTCTCCTAATGCTTTCTTGCCAGCAACAAGTATTACCATGCTATTTGTCAAATGGTTTTCTATTGCCATCATTCCTTCTACATTTATTAATTGGAATTCTACTCTAAGGAAGATCTTTCTCTCTTCTTCCATTATTCATTCAATTTATTTATTCAATTATTCATTTTTATCAGTATGAGCTCATGGCTATTTATTTTATTCTGTGTGTTCTACTCTATTGCTATCATTATTTTGTTACTCAAATTGTCCCAGATTTGTCCATAGAGAGTCTCTTTAAGTGAACTCTCTATTTATGAGTTAGTTTAAATTTTTTAATGTTTAAACATATATATTTATGTCTTTTTGTGTATTGTCTGTTCATGTCTCTTTTCCATTTTTCTATTGGATTTGTCCCTCAACTTTCAAGAGTTCTTTATGTATTAGAATATTACCCTTTTATCTGTGATGTATGTTGCAAGAATTTTCTCCTAGTTTGTGAGTTGTCTTTTGGTTTTGTTTATGGTATTTTTTGCATACAGTTGTTTTACATAGTCAGATTTATTCTCTTATTATTGCCTTTGGATTTTGAATCATAGAACACTGAGGTTAAAGGGAAGTTCACTCATGTTTTCTTCCAATAGCTGTGTAGTTTCATATTTTACATTGAGGTTCTTTTTCTTTTTTTAAAAAATAAATTTATTTATTTATTTATTTATGGCGGCGTTGGGTCTTCGTTGCTGAGCACGGGCTTTCTCTAGTTGTGGCGAGCGGGGGCTACTCTTCGTTGCAGTGCGCGGGCTTCTCCTTGCAGTGGCTTCTCTTTTTGCAGAGCACGGGCTCTAGGCGTGCGGGCTCTAGAGTGTAGGCTTGGTAGTTGTGGCGCACAGGCTTAGTTGCTCCATGACATGTGGGATCTTCCCGGACCAGGGCTTGAACCCATGTCCCTTGCATTGGCAGGCAGATTCTTTTTTTTTTTTTTTTTTAATTATTTAATTATTTAATTAATTTATTTTTGGCTGTGTTGGGTCTTCGTTTCTGTGCGAGGGCTTCCTCTAGTTGCGGCAAGCGGGGGCCGCTCCTCCTCGCGGTTCACAGGCCTCTCACTGTCGTGGCCTCTCTTGTTGCAGAGCACAGGCTCCAGACGCACAGGCTCAGTAGTTGTGGCTTACAGGCTTAGTTGCTCCGTGGCATGTGGGATCTTCCCAGACCAGGGCTCGAACCCATGTCCCCTGCATTGGCAGGCAGGCAGATTCTTAACCACTGTGCCACCAGGGAAGTCCCTACATTTAGGTTCTTGATCCGTTTGGAGTTTATTCTCACATATGGTATGACCTATGGATCTAATTTTACCTTTTTCCAAATGGCTACGCAGTTGTCTCAGCACCGTTTATTAAAAATCTCATCTTTGCTGCAGTGATGTTAGATGCCACCTTTATTATATGCTAAATTTCCTTATGCATTAAATTTTATTTCTGCGTTTTCTATTCTGTTCCCTCAGTCTGTCTATTCATTCGTCAGTACCACACTGTTTTAATTATAAACACTTTTAAGTTTTAATGTCTGATAGGACAAGTCCCCTTCCTATATATTTTTATATATTTTTTAAGTTAGCTTCAATAATCGCTATCCATTTTATGGGGAAATGATACCTTTTTATTACTGACTTCCTGACAAAGGAAAAGAGCAATCTTCCTAGTTCCCTCCTCATTATCATCATCATACCATCTCTACTATCATCATGGTGTCATCCATACCAGCTATACCATCTATGTACTAACCATTTTATGCACATTTTCTCATTTAATAAAGCATCAAAACTCAGGCAGACTTTGGGAGGAGTTGAAAATATGTAAGTATCTTTCCTCTCCCCAAGCTTTCCTTCTCAGTCTTAGCAGGTGAGGAGGTTTTGGTTAATTGAGTCTAACTCCCCTGTTCAGATCTGTGTTCATGGAAGTTTAGAAGAGTATCCTTTATGGATGGTATCTCCAGTCTCCTCATTTTATTTTTATTTTTATTAAAAGTTTTTATTTATTTATTTGGCCATGACGAGCGGCTTGAGGGACCTTAGTACCCTGACCAGGAACCAAATCCAGACCCTTGTCAGTGAAAACCTGAGTCTTAACCACTGGACCGCCAGGGAATTCCTCTAGTCTCCTCATTTTATTTATTTTACTTTTATTTTCATTTTTAAAATATATTTATTTATTTATTTATTTTTGGCTGCCTTGGATCTTCATTGCTGCACGTGGGCTTTCTCTACTTGTGGTGAGCGGGGGCTACTCTTCGTTGTGGTGCGCAGGCTTCTCATTGCAGTGGCTTCTCTTGTTGTAGAGCACGGGCTCTAGGCGCGTGGGTTCAGTAGTTGTGGCGTGCAGGTTCAGTAGTTGTGGCACACGGGCTTAGTTGCTCTGAGGCATGTGGGATCTTCCCGGACCAGAGTTCGAACCCATGTCCCCTGCATTGGCAGGTGGATTCTTAACCACTGTGCCACCAGGGAAGCCCCTAGTCTCCTCATTTTAAATGCAGACATGAAGGCTCAGGGAGGGGAAGTCACTTACACCGACAGAGAGATGGAAGCAAGTTTAGAAATAATCTAATCCAATTTCTTGGTTTCACAGAGGCAGAAGTTGTGTGGCCCACCCAAGGTCTTGTAGCAATAATAATACCTTTGGGTCCTCACCATGTATCAAGCACTGTACTAAGAAATCAACATAGTTTATCTCACTTATTACAGCAACCTGAAGAATAATTAATATTATTACCTCCATTTTGTAGAAAACTGAGGCTGAGAGTGGTAGAGTAACTTGTTCAAGGTGAACCAGTCAGCTGGCACAAGGCAGAGTTGGGATTTAAAGTTGACTGATTAACACTTCTAACCACTTAGGCTCCAGTGCCCCCGGCAAGCCTCTGGCATTGCAGATACAGAGCTCAAGTGAGCAGACCCAAGATTAATGTCCAGTCACTCAAAACTTGCTTGTTTTTTTGTTTTTTGGTTTTTTTGGGGGTAGGAGTTTATTAATTAAT